AGTTACTTGTTCGCTCGTCGCAGCAAGGTGCTAACCAATCGCATGATCTTTTTTCACTAGAAGAACATAATGTGGAAAGTTCTGTTAAATCACTTGGAATATTAAATTCGAATATCGTGCGATTTGATTCGAAAATATTAAAAAATTGGACCGACAATGCCGAAAATAGACGAATCGAGAAACCTGGGAGTGGAAAATCTGACGATTTGGATGTAGCTACCAACTTTCATAATTCCCAAAATGATGATGGATTATCAGATGATGTCGGTTCACAGTTTAAGCAAGTTCCATCAACTTCTAAAACTTCATATTTAAATCAGACATGTATAAAAGAATCTTTACCACAGGTTGGTTTCTTATTAGATGCGAAACAATTTGAAAATTGAGCTATCATTTAGAAAATTTATTTTCATTTATTTATTTATTAATTTATTTATTTCAATTTTATTTCAGACTGAATTTGAGCAAAAAAAATTGTGTTTAAAAGATGACCGAATCGATGATACAAAGCTGCAGGATCAGCGTGATCACTTAATTATGATTAGAGAAAAAGATTACATAAAAGCCACTGTAGAAGTTTGGTCAGCTATACCACTGAATGGTTCATTCAACAATAACATACTTTCAATACAGGGATCCATCAAGGAACTTCAAAATATTCTTTATTCACCTTCTACTTCTTGGAACGAGTACTTCGAAGCAAAAGGTTAGTTTGTTTATTCTTAAAAACAATTAAAATAATTTTTTGAATTAATAAACTAAAAATTAAAGAAATTAAACATTTTTAATCAGTGCAGCTATAAAAAATTGTAGAAAAACTCCAGAAACTAATCAATGAATTGTTGTCTAAACTTGATCCGGATTATTCATCAGGTATTTATATACATTTCTTTTTTTTTGTATTAATTAATTATAGTTTCATAGAAATAAAATTAGTTATCTTGTCATTTTTAATACATGGTATTATTATGCATCGAAGTTCTTTCCTTAATTTGCCATAATTTTACTTTTAATCAATTTTTAAATCGCTTCAAGTAACCAGAAAATAAGTGGCAATGATGTAATGAAATAATTCTTTAATTTCTTCTGAAACTTGAATTTGTGCAATTCCACAATTGCTTTAAGTTCCTTAACTTTTTTAATTTAATAATTCATTAGGTTATTCAGTGAAACATTGAATATAACTGCGGAATATTTGTAAAAATAGTTTTTCTTATTTTTATGAACCTAGAGCTTAGATTTTTGCAAATCCATTATTATTCACCTTAAACTAAAATTTTCAGAGGCTTAAAAGGTGAAGGTCAAAGTTCACAGTGTTATGAAGCAAGTGCTTTTTGCTTCCATATTTCAAAAGTTGAAAATTTTGCGGCCAAGAAGACCTTAAACCATTTTATAATTCTTTCTCTTATTTTTTTGCAAAGCAATTTATTTTGAATCTAATCTCATTCAGTATCAAACGTCATTTGACGTTCATTTTATCTTCCATAAATGCCAACTTTTGAAATTTTTTTTGAACGAATAGCAGAAAATTATTGAAAATTACTTGAATCTTTGTTCATATTCTGATGACATTTTAATTGCATATAAATGTTTTGAATGCATTACTTTTGATTCAAATTTTTTTAAAAAATAAAATTTAGGAAAATAAAATAAATAAAAGCAAATTAAAGTTCAAGAAAGATTTATAGAATAAATTTTCATTATCCCACCAACTTTAAATTTTATTTGCAATTTAATTTTGCATATCGATTTGAATAAAATTTTTAAAAGTATCTTCAGGAGAAACAATAAAATATCATTATTTTATTAACCTGTCAAGTGCATAGCCGTTTTAAAAATTTTGTATAAAAAAAATTCAATTGTAAAAGGTTGGAATTTAATAAAATTTAAGCTTCTGCTTCTCGTAGAAAATAATCGTATAAGTATAATTTTAATTTAAGTCAAACGTTTATTAGTTGTATAAGTATAAGCATAAATTATGTATTTATAGATAAATTCGTATAAAATGCCTCGATATTATGCAAATGATGTCGATAAAATTACACAGAAACGATCATTAAAAATTCCATCGAATGGAACCAATGAGATTATTCAGAAAAATGAAAAGGAAAAAACGAAAATCAAGAGTTAGGAAAATATTGCACAGTGCAAAAAAACTTCACTAACGATGGTGGGGGGAGGGGAGAGGAAGCTGTGATGCCATAATTCACAGCCCTTATTTAGTTCTGCGTTCTTTATTTCGCCATTAACCAGTTGAACGCATAGACCACAAAATTTGCTGGAGGATTGCTTAAGGGCCTATGGATCTATTTATTTTAATGAAATTTAAATAGTCTCGTGAAGTTTGGCGCTATATTCCTTGTTTTAAACAGAAATTATTCATTAAAAGAAGATATAAAGATTAATTATAAATGATGCAAATATTTTATGCTAAATCAATAAAAAACTTTATAAAAACTATGCATTACTTTTTTCAAAAAAATAAAGAAAAAATTGAAAAAATGCTGCTTGGAAGATGGCCAACAATAAAAAATATGAAAACAAAATTAAATTAAGTTAAAAATTATTATTGAATCATTATTTTTCAAAAAGTTTATCCAGAAATTTTTTAAAATAACGCACATTAAAAAATTTTTGCTGGAGATTATCCTAGAATGTACTTCAATTCTGTTAATCCTTTAATCCTTTAAATCCCTATAGGTACTAAGAAAGTCTGGGGGAAGGGGAATATTGCTGACCCAGGGTTTTAAACCATGTAGATATACCCAGGTAAAATTGAAAAAATTACAAATAGTGCTAAATTTTATCATCGAGTAGGTGAGAAAGTTATTTCCAGAAATGGGCGCGTCGCGGTGAGCCAAAAATATTTGGGAAATTGCTTTAAACACCTTATTTGCTTTATTTGTTTTCATGAATATTCTTCATTCATTCATTCAAGGAAGAAAACCAAATTATTGTAGGAGATCTGTTATTTTTTCAGCGCCTAAACGTGGCGTAGTTATATTTCCGATGCCAATTCGTTTAGATGAAGGAATGAAAACAGCTTTACGGAATTTTATTGTCGAAACTTCGTCTAAAAACATAGAAACATTTGCGCAAGAATTTATCGAACTAAGAGTGAATTTTTCACGTTGATTTTCACAGCATTAAATTATAAGACTTGCCACTTCCGGTTAACTCATCCAGCTGTTAGAAACTTCTGCCAGGGAACCATCCGGTGATAGAAATATAGGTAGATCGCTAGCATCAACGGAATTTTCAATTACAAGCTTTATGCCTGTCGGGAGAAAGCTGAGCGAGCCTTTGCCTATTAAAATGATGATCTTAACCATTATCCAGCCAGCTCATGAACCCTTTAAAAAAATATTAAATATTTTTAATATAATATTTTTCGCAAAAACAAGCAAAATCAGATATGCGGCCAAAAGCAACTGCAAACTTTTTGCACCGTTCAACTTGTCACTATAAACCAATAGGAAATAATATAATGCGGAAATATTTCGCTATAGAATGATTTACACATAGTGGTACATACGAAATCATCAGTATTCTCAATATCAACTATTTCAGTTCTAATGATAGATTTAATCTTATCAAGGAAACTATGCTTATCTACGAATAATAGCGTATATGATTATTACGAGGGTTCAAATGAGTTGCTTCGCTTTGGTTCATATTTAATGAATTAAAACCACTTTTTTCCAGGTTGATCCCTCCGAAAAAAATCAGGAGTCCTTTCTGAAGAACAAAACGAAGAATCGATATAAAGGTTTCGAACTAGTCGATTTCTTCATATTTATACTTCAGATTTGTTCAAAACTTTCCGTCATTTTCTGCGTTCTTTTGTATTCTATTTTATATTCGATTTATAGGCCAGATTTGTACTTAAAATTTTTGCAGATGTTATATGTATTGAAGAATCACGTGTTAAGCTAAAATGGCCGAATAATGATACAAATGATTATATCCATGCCAACTGGGTCAAAGGTTTTATATATTTTATGAGAGATTTTGCCTGTAGTGATTTGATTTTATTTTAAATTTTTAAGATTTTTATTCAGACAGCTCACACTATTATTGGTTAAATTGGCTCCGCTGGTTACGCTGAAGATGAAGTATTTTGAAGACACTCGATTCATTCATACCTGAAAGTGATAGAAGACACTCATTTTTCCATTGTCTAAGCCCATATATCAGCTGCTTAAATAATAGTTAACACTCACTACATTCTCTTCTGATTAACCAGATCTCTATTGCGCCTCCTTGCTTTTCGCGATATTCTCACTCAGTTTAGCAAATAGAAGCTAATTCTTGCGCTGGGCGACCCTAACCTGCTTATAACTTTGTGGCGATTTTAATGCAGATTCATGTATTGAGAAAATAGCGGATGTTACCTTTTTGCAGACGGTATTATAGTGAAGGTAGATGCGATCATATGAAATTTCGTTCACTCGATGGTGGGGACGTAAAATATAACTCAAGTATGAGTAAAAAGATAGATGGCTGCTTCTTGATACCTTCGATTCTCACTGGCGATATTTCATAGCAGTATAAGAATATAAGTGCAAGAGCATAAGAAGAAGATAGTGCAACTGGATATTGCTTTGCTATTGCTTTGATGGTGATTTTGTGGCCATTCCTCCTACTTTTCGCTGGACGGAATCTTAGCTGCTGCTATCAGGGCCAGAATTTGTCTTTTGATTGGTCATTTTGATACAAAAAGGTAACATCCGCTACTTTCTCAATCGCTGAAGAAAATAGATTTTCTTCAGTCTTATTCATATTAATGTCGCAGGTGCATTTATCGATATAGACGGTCCATTTATTGGAAGAACACTACATAAAGATAACCAAATCCTTTCACCGTAGAATGATAGATGGAAGCCTCCAGCAGCAGCTCGGATTTAGATTTTTATGGCGTCTGTCAAAGATATGAAAGATAGGGAAAAGAATTACTGAGAATAGAAAAGAAAAAATAAATTGTAATTATATTTTTTCAATTGTTAATTTCCAAGTTAAAAAAACTTGAAAAAGAAATTTTAGGAAGCCAGCTAATCTATATTTTAAAGCTTTCTGCTAAGGCAACCACTTCAAGCAGCAAAACGAATTTTTTACCACTAAATTTTAATTATTTAATTGTCACTTCCAAGAAAACTAAATCATCTAAACGCAACGAGATATTTGAGCAAAAATGAGCGATTTATTGTGAACACCGTCATCAACAATACTTTTTATAGGACTTGGAGGGATGGAAAAGGAGATAATTTGCACTCAAGGTCCAATGCCTAGTACAACTGAAGATTTCTGGAGAATGGTCTGGCAAGAAAAGTGCGTGGCAATTATTATGTTATGCCGCGTTATCGAAAATGGTAAGAAGAAATGTGAACAATATTGGCCTCTCGAAGCTGATGAATGGGTAATAAAAGTTCTGATGCATTGAATTTAATAAATAATATGAAGTAAAAGAAATGAGAGTACACGAAAAAAAAATTTCTAAGTAAATTCTAAGAAGTGGAATCTGAAATTGGATTGAAATTGTTATATAAAATTTGAACTAATCTCGGAGAATGGCTTATTTAATTTAATTTAAATACAGTTAAAGCAGCTAATTTCAGATGCAAATCGCTGGATTAAATATTAAAAATGAAAAAGTAGAATACGTTGAAAGTGACTTCATATACACAAAGCTGGCTATTTCAAGTATGAGAATTAAAAAAATATGTTATTAATCGAGATTTGCAAAGATGATGGAATGTAAAAAGTGGACTCCGAATGTTCGCATCCATATTTAGTGGTTCGAGTTTGTCGTTCTAGGCATCTATGAAAATTCGAAAGTCCTAAAAGTTAAACACGTACTTTGGAGTGCGTGGCCAGATAAAGGAGTACCAACTTCCACGACAAGCGCTTTAAAGTTGATATTTCGTACTCAAACTTATTCGCCATGCGTTATCCACTGCTCAGCTGGTTCATTTCATTATTTTTAAAGGCCTTGGATTAAAGGTTTGAAACTTGAAGATATTAGAGTTTACAGCTGAACTTGTAACATATCAACTGTAAACTTCGATGATGTAAATTTTTTTATTCTTTTTTTTTTAGCCAATTTTGAATCACTTTTTAAAATTTTAAATCTATTATCTTTGTTTTTCCTCGATTTAGGAGTTGGACGAACAGGTACAATCGTCGCCTTGGAAGCATGCATGCGAGTACTTACTGCTGGCAAATCTTTGAGCGTCTTTGACATTGTAAAAGTAGAACTATTTTATTCACTTGATGCTTCAGAAAATTTACAAAAAATTTACGAAATTTATACATCAGTTTTTCATATTAAGGAATTCCAAATATAATGGACCTTCATCAGACATTGGGTCACTCATCGATAATCATGTTGCTAGTTTTATGACTTTCTAGGAATTAAGAAAAAGTCGTTATCTGGCTTGCCAGACACTCTTACAGTACCTATACATCCATCGAGCAATTTTTGCATATGCCGTCTCAAAAAACGTTAGATTTAAAATTTCTTTGCAGACTATTCGATTTGAAAACATTTAATGGAAAACACCTCTCGTTCCCAAATTCCTTGGGAAAGCTTTAAAGAATATCAGTGGAAGCAAAGGTTCTCATTCGTGAAGGAGAAAACAAATTTCTCTAACTTATATTTTTTACCAGTAATAACCCTTAACATTTTAATATTTTTGATGCTCAACCAAAACAATGAAACAAAAGTTTTTTGTTCACTGACTCGCTTACCAGGTTTGCACTCCGATCGAAATTGAGCGATTTGTAAATGAATATGGTAAAATTTTGGCCGAAAAAACAAATCGAGAGATTGGTGTCAATGCTGAGAAACCAAGTGATAATGCTCATGATAATGCCCAGCCAAAAGAATGAATATTAAAAAATTAAAAATATGAAATTGTTTCAATCCTTTCCACCAATAAGCAAATGAATTCTTAGGTAAGAAAAAGTCTGACTAAATTCGTGAATAAATTCTTGATTAAAGCAGTAAAAAAAACTGGCGATAGAAATAATCGACAAATTTTCCTTTTATAAAAAGACAACTCGATATTTTTTCATAATTATTGGATGTTACTAGCGAGCGATAGAAAGAATTCATTAATTTAGGTAAGGACATAGAAGAATTTCAACAGCCTACACCATTACTATAAAAGTAAGACATTCTCAAGACTTGATCCGTGTCAAATATGAAGGCCACTACCTATGTGTCTCTCCTATGAATCCAAGTCTTGGCCGGTTCTTGTCGCAATTTTCGATATCATTCATCATGGGATTTAGCAAGTACTAAATATGCATCAGTTCTTGCAATTACAATGACGATGCGTGATGAGGGAAATACCACTTTAATTTTAATTTTAATTTATGATAAAAAATATTACAAGTTGCCCTAATCATTACGCATCGATAGAAATTCCGCTTTTCGATATTTCATTCAGTCATAAAATCCAAATGGGTTTTGCTAAAATGTCGCATAAATTTGCTTTCAGAAATAGAAATTTTAATAATAATAGATAAATAGATAAAAACAAATGAATGAAACAAAAATAAATTTGCAAGGAAATTTTAAATATACTCCGAGTAAAAATAAAATATTCAAACTGATATTCGAAGCTCAAACATGGAAACTACGAATTGCGATGATTGAAAGTATGAACATCAACTTCTGAGGAAGACATTTTTCGTCTCGCAATTTTATTGACTGATTACTAGAGTGAAACAATTCCACCAGAGACAGCGATGTAGTTAAATTCCCAGCACTATTATTACGATTTCATTTCATAAATTTACAATGACAAGAATTGAATTCATTTTGTCTCAACCAAAACAAATGTGCTCGGAGAAACTTTCATCTTCCCACATTATTGAAATGAAATTTAAAAAATCACAGAAAAATGAAATTAAAAAGTAGAGAATTAAAAGTAGCTTATGTGATAAAAACTTGAGCAAAATCATCATGTTCATAAGTGCGTTTCAATAATGTATCGGTAACACGAATGCCAGAAATTGTCTGAAAAAATCATACTTAAAAATTCTTTGAAATAAATAAATAAACAATAAATACATTCCATAACCAGAACGATTAAGCATTAATATCGATATGCTTTTTCGCTTGTTAAAACACTCGAAATTTATCATGAATTAGAGAAGAAAAAAAAAGAAGAAAATTTTTAAAAAAAATTAGAATTAACATTAAAAATAAATAGCAGCTAAATATTTGTAATAAAAATCTAACCTGAAGTCCCGGAGATATAGGAAACAGCTCCAAAGAAAAATCAACTGTGCTATTCGGAAGCAATTGCCCTAAAAGAATGCCACTTGTTGAACAAAAAATAATTCGAGGTTGTAAAGTACCGTCCAAATGTAAAACCAAATCCATTGACCGTTCACTGAAATTTGAATAAATTTTCCTTGAAGAAGAATGCAAAATGTGAAAATTCAACGCCATAAAATGATAAGCTATCGATTACAATAAAAACAAATTAACTACAAAATTTCGTCCAACCAAACTCCATTAAACATTATTCATTCTTAAACCATCGAATCACAAGTACAAATGCATTCGTTCAATGCACAAGCAATTCTTTCACTGATAATTTGAGTGTTTTAGCAATGAAATTTCATCCGAAAAAGATGAATTCGTTTAAATATGAACATTAGCAACGCAGCGCCTAGCTTAATAATGAAACAAATAACTAATGCACGTTCAAAAAAACTGGAACAATATTATGCCAAAAAAGACAAATCCAAGATATAGTAAAAAAATATGATAAGTTAAGCAACAATTTAAAATTCTATAATCTATAATTTTTAAAAGAAAAAATGCCATGAGTCATCAATAATAACCTGCAGTTTCGTAGCCGACATGTAATTTCAAAAATTTGGCGGAGTTTGGTTGAATCGGGAATTTTTTCGATAGTCAAATGCAAATCGCCATAACCGGGTGCCTAAATATTAACACATTTATTTTAAAAATTGAATCCAAAACAATTATTTTTCAAGTTTCTTGATGAAAATTATTGAAATATTAGTAAGCTCTGTCGCATTATCTAAAATTTATTTGAACTTATTATAAAACAAGATTGTGGTACAACATAAAAAAACGTTCTATCTAAAAAAAACGTTAGCTAAAATGATAAAAATAAGTAAGAGTAAAAGAAATCAACGTATAGGAAATTAACCATTCGATGTAACGAACTGGTCTGAAGATGACCTCTTTCGCCCATTGCACTTCTCCAAATCATATCTAATTTACCAATTGATGTTCCTTTCCTAAAAGACTCTTATTGATCTGATCAAATCAGAACAATGAATTCAAAAAGAATAGAACATATTTCACAGCTCAATTGAAAAAAATTCAATTTGAGTTAGTTTTTACGAATTTCAATCATAAAATATTGAGAAAAAAAATTTAAACTGTTTTAAAACGAGAATATCACCTGTAATAATTCAATGAATAATCCGATATCTTTGGCTTTAAACAATATAAATATTGCCTAATATCATTCGGAATGAGATAAAAAGATTCTAATTCCATTTCTTTTCTGCAAAATTATTCAAAAAAATTAATCCTTAGAACATAAAAAGAATGAAGATTGATGGAAAGAAAAAATTACGCTGGTTTAGGTGGAGCAATTTCGACACTTGTGTAGTAATCAGACGGTTCAAGAGTGACTTTTTCTAATATCATTGGCACCGAAGATGTATTCTGAATTTGAGCCTCCAAGTAGACGTCGTTATTCTGCAAATGTATTAGAGATACAATGAAATTTAAATATACTTCTACGCTCTTTTCTTTTTAATTATCTTAAATGAGAAAACAATTTTTTCATATAAAATATTAATTGAAATGCTTTATACGACTTTTAAACATAAAGTGTTAAAAAGTATAAGCATATTGAAGATTTTTAAGATTTAGAAAAGATTTGAAAAAATGTTAGCAGGAAGATAAAAGAAAATTTGCTAAACAAAACTTACCAAAGTATCCTATAAAAAATATTCGTTAACACCCCATTGTACATATCGCTTTGCCAGACATGCAACAAAGAAAAAGGCTAATATTAAACAGATTAATCGCAAGATTAATGTATCATACAAAGAATTCCGCAAATTACTTAAGGTTGCTTAAGGTGAAAATTAAATTTCAAATTTTAAATTGACTTAGTCCTTTCAAATTTTACCACAATAACTATGAAATGCGGTGGTAACGAAATTAAATTAATTAAATAAATAATTTCAAAGCATTAATTAATAGCAATCAGTGTCCTTTTCTGAAAATTTCTAGATAAAAAGATTTGCTGCAAATAATCCAAAAAAGTATAAATTACATAAATTTTGGAAAGCTAAATTATGCAAATTGAGCTGAAATAAAAGCAATATTATTATTTGATGTTATTATATGCAACTTATTTAAAGCATTAAGTATTAAAACCACAAAAAAATGGTGAAATTAAAAAGTAAAATGGTGAAATTTTACTTTTTTCAGAAAGTTTAGTAGTTATGGAATAATCTCTGTAAAAATGAACAACTGTTGAAGTCATTCATTCGTGCAATCATGCGTTTTAGCAATTAACTTAGGATAATGAGGATTAAACTATTTGTAAGTAAAAAAACGAAATTAAAGGAATAATCGAAAACTAATAAACCTCAGCGTTATAAAATTTCGTCCTTACGTCGATTGGTTTAGTAACAGGAAACTTGAAAAACTTTCGAAAATACATCTTCTCATCTGCAGAACTTTTGTAATTAACTGCGCAAACCAATCTAAAACGATATTTTGTAATATTATCAACACAAAATTCGTTAGTTAAGTAATTTAAAAAAATGAAAATTGTTAAAACCCTAAAATTAGCAAAAAAGAAAAATAGAGTAACAACGAAAAAAATCATACGTACATATGTTGTCCAACTTCTTTGATTTCATGACTTATTATCGCCCCCAAACATTGACCCGCTTCCAAACTCTGATATGCTTCTTGCAGATTCGATAATAATGCGATTCTCTGATTAGTTGTTTGTAAATCTGTCTATAAAACTTAAAGAAATCAACATGAAACGATATAGAAATAAATATTAACGAATTTTACAAAGCTCTTAGCGACAATTTAGTTTAATTTATAATTATCAAATGTTAAAAAAAAACCAACAATAAACCAAAAAAAACTATAGGAAACCAAAGTAAAACCAAAATAATAACGAATTAGTGTTTTTCTCATAAAAAGTGATAAATCAAAAAACTTTATGAAAATTTTAAGAAAATTTTAAATTTTAAACTGACTGTTACACAAATATCCTTCACCACTTGACCACTAATATTATGTATACACACATAAAAGGTAAAAGTTTCACCCAAATAAATGTTGCTGCAAATTCAAGAAAACAATTAAAGTGATAGAATAAAGGCATTAGATCTACAGTTTACGCGGAATTGGAGATTCAAGGATAAATAGCATAATTATCCACGACTACCAAAATTCCCTCTCTCTTTATTCAATTAGAAAGTTTTTTTTCGGTGAACTATTCCAAAATTTTTCAAACAATCACTATTTGATGAAGACGCTATCTGAAAAATCAGTTCGATCGAATTGTATTAATTCTTCAGACATAAAATATGCTTCTAGCTCTTTTTTTTGTCATTCTTCCACTTTCTTCATAATTATAGAAAAAATTTTCAATAAACGATGTTATAAATCATTTACTCGAACTTCTGTGGAGCCATAAGATATTGGCTAATTGGAATATCAGCGGATTCTTGACCAGTAATTCGGCAAACAGCGCCACCAATCAACTGATTGACTGCATCCCCGGGATCGATGGGTAAACAAACATTTTGATAAAATTTTGGGCGATCGAGGCGCATCACTTGAGAAAATTAAACAGTAATACATCATTTTTCAAGAAAACTGGACAAAAAAATTTTATTTTTCTTAAAAACTCGTAATTCAACAAAAAATTATGGGATAAAAAATACCTTTCAACACCAAGCAATGATCCCGACTAACGTCCGCCATTTTTAAACTGTTCGGAGAATGAACACCAAACAAATAAATTTATATCCAAAAATAGAATAAAATCCTTCCATAAATACGGAAAAGATTAATGAAATGCAAAAGTATAAAAAAAAATTTATACTTGTTGTTATACCTTAGAAATGCAAATCAAAATTTTAAAACCAAGTTATTTCCATTAATAAGAATTTTTTCAACAAAATCTAGGAAATTAAGCCTAGGAATTCATAAAATTTTATAATTTGATAAAAAAACTTTGAACTCCATCAAGCATCCTTTATAAGACTGGAAAACTTTAAGATTGCATTTGATTGAGAATTTCAAGCAAAACCCTATACAAATAATTTCAGCCGCTTGTAAAATAACTAGTAGTGTAAAACAAGCAAATACCAAGAATGAGAAAACATTTTAATAACAGACATAATTCTTACCTCAAAGTACTCAATGTAATTAAAAATCAAGAAAATTTAGTTTACAATCATGAAAAATTTTTAAAAACGAAAATTGTAAAAGTAAATTATTAATGTGGATGTTAAGATTCAGCTACCATATAAAACAAGCCAACTAAACTCACAATATTCTCTTTAATCAACTATTGTTATATAACGGCACCTGAAGCAGAATGTACAGACCTGCTCACCATTATATTAAGAAAAAAGGTGGAATTTACAAATGCTCAAGAAATATACGAGAAAAATGAAAACACTAGAAAAGGAAAGCAACAACTAATTTGGAAAGCTTGGCTAGATTTGTACAAACTGCTAAATTATAACAATTTTTGCTTCAAGCAACAATTGCTGCGTCTTTCTCATCTGCATGAATATTTTCAGCAAACTCATGTTCGCGCTTACAATCATCTACCTTTGATTCATTCTTTGACGCCTCATCAAAATCTCCAACCAAATCTATAAAAGAGTTGCACACAAAGTTACAGTTCCATAACAATTTAAAATAGTTTAGAATTTGTTTGGCTAATCCTTATTGATAATAATTCTCATGTAATTATTCAGCATATTTTTGAGACAGTCGAAATGTTAAGTCTTAAAACAAAAAATGAACCTGGGACTTCATCGTCCTCTGTCGTTTTGAACTGGCTAGTCACATTATTAGCCAGTTTTTTCAAATGTGTCAGCGATTCTGCTCCTAACTGGTTGAGTATACTGGGGAGCATATCAGTGATTTCTAAATTAGAATATTTAAACATCTGAAGGTAAAAAAAATGAATATGAATAAATGAATATGAATATGAAAAATGAATATTATTCAATATGATACGAATGTAACATTGTCACAGGATTAAAAAAATCTCAGGCAGTCATATTTCTGATAATTCAAAATATCTTACAGACATCACTAAAGCTTCATAAATTAACTTGAAAAGACAGGTTAAATCCCTTTAAAAAGAATTTTACGACGTTTGTCAACTAACCTATTTCAGCCGCAAATACACTAACAATTAAATTGTAAGAATATAAAAAATATATCTGAATCTAAATCAACGTTTCCAAATAATTAATTCAAGCAATTAAAATAAATTGTAGAATGTCGGTGAGGATAAAAAAAGAGAAAAATGGGCCGGTATTCATCAATTATAATGATAATCCTTAAAACAACCAACGCTTATTTTCCGCGCTTCCAGTAACAGAAAAAGTATTAGCAGGTACCGATGCCTGGACCTTCGGGTTATTGAAGTGAATTACAGTGCCATCATCCTTGATCATATTTACCTTTAAAAAACTTGCTTATTATAGTAGAATTTATTTTAAATCAACGAAAACAAAATGAAAATGAAAAGAATAATGAAAACAACAATAACTAATGGAGAAATAAATAAAAAAAAATGAAGTAAAATTTTAATGTAAGGATTCGGAATTATTTATAACTGTAAAGCAAGACTGTGAATGTTTCATAATTTAATTCAAACTCTCTGTTTTATGTAAATATTTGCGATTTATTAATGTACTGGACAGAATTTTTACGAAAAGAATCAACAATTTAAAAAATTCAATTTATCAAAATTCCTTTTCCTCGTTCAAATACAAAAAGCATAATGGCAAAATAAATAATGTGCAAAAATCTTCTTCACACCTAGAAAAACCTAAAGAAATCATTTAAAAAAATTTAATCAAACATCCAAAGACAAAGCAGTAATATCACTATATGAAAAATAATTTCCAGAAAAAAAATGGTGCGTAAGGAAAAGAAAAAGAAAAAAAGAAATTTGACCGAATGCTATTTAAATTGGAAAATATTAAACATGAAAAATTTACAATTTATAATGTAAAATCATAAAATTGATGCTGAAAATTGCTGAAAATTGTGATAAAGTTAAAATAAAAAATATTAAAATTAAAAAAATAAAAGACCAACTTCTTCAATACCAGGAATATTTGTTACTGACAGCTTTTTTAAATTGCTTTGTAATTTTTTATCATCAGTCGCAGCAGTTTTATGTACAACTTTCTTCTTCCTACGAGCAGTTCCCTAGAATTATATTGATATATCTAAAAATTATTTCACTTTACCTAAAATTCTATTAATTAAATGCATAAGTAAAAGCAAATAAAAACTGACTTTTCCACCTGTTCGAACTTGCGCTGCATTCTGTTGCAATTTTTTGATTTTTTCAATATTCATCTCTACTTCAAATATAATGATATAACACCTTAAATGACCTTAAATGACCGAAGATTAGAAGATATTCAAAAATTTTTATGTTCTGTCGCAAATATATATTAAAAAATAAGATATGACGGTAAAACAAAATAAAGATGAAGAGTGAAAATCCTACAAATCATTAAAAGTTTTAATAAATTTAATAAATAAGTGGAAAAAACTCAAACAAAAATGGTGAACGCTCTTGAAAAAAAATCTATGCCCAAGTAACTCTAATGGGTAAAAAAAGAAGGTCACTGTTTCGACCAGCTAAATGAGAAGGCTGAAAACCTAGATTAGTAAGAGATTTTAATCATATAGCAGCCTGGACAAGTATAGGCGTTGAAGAAAGAACTAACCTCAGTTAATTTCAGACATGGATCGCTAAATAGAAATGCCCATGCTATTCAACGGTGAAAAGGTAACCACCTCATCCTAGTGGAACAGTCAAAAAATAGAGAATATTTTTGGATTTCTTATGAAATCTACATTTTCCTGAAAAGAAATTCGTAACATCCACTCCGATTTGAAGTGTTGTGGTTACGGATAAGATAGAATGAAACAGTGTAACGACTGTCTGGGAAACTTCAACTGCTAACAACATCCCTGAAAAATGAAATGATTATAATCTGGGAAGATTGGAAAGAAAAACAGTTCATGATGCCATCACGATGAACTCGCTAATTGACAAATATGGTATAGGAGCCCGATGCGTCAATGGTGAACATGTTCGCTTTGCTGAAGAGAACGAATATATTTTTATTAATATATGGTATGGGAGAAGACATCTATAACACGAAACTCTCAGGATAATCAACAGCCAGATTCCGTGCTTGAAAAAAAATTTCGACAATCGTTCCTATCCCATTGCTGCAACTGGTGACCTTCATAGATGAGATGAGATTGTCTCGGTTCCAGATTGTTTCGACGCCCATAAAACTGATAAGAAAGAACTCAAGATCTTAAAAGTATTATCTCAAACTAAAAGATTCGAAGATAGTAAGCACATTTCAATCCGAATTATTGAAGCATTTCAATGATATGATTATCGGATACTTCGAAGGATTATAACAACTGCAGCATGGCGGGACAGAAATCTTTAGAACAACAGATAAATATTAATCCTAAACAATAACATATCTCCAGAAAGCAACCACTTCCATCACTGGATATTAGTGAGGAAATATCCTAGTTGCGTGTCGAAAGCAACTATCAAACTATCTAAAAAAGCTGCCAAAGCCGAATGTCAAAAGATCCTGAAGATCGGATACTTCGAAGGATTATAACTGCAGCATGGCGGGACAAAAATAGCTATAGAGCGATATAGCCCTGAAAAAGAAGACAGCGGCTCGATTAAATAATAGGAAAATGTTCTGCCTCCTTCACAAAATAATTCAGGGAATGATGATCAGTGAAATGGTAAGGGGTAGCAATGGTGTGCCTGTTAATATTATTGAGGACTGCCTCATAAGATGAAAGAAATTCTCTGAGGCCAAACTTAACAATGATGTGCCATCTGTTGTCCCAGAAACAGCTAATTCGTTCGTTAAGCCATACGTCTGCAACTGCGCCAAGACAAAATAATCCCTGCGAAAATGGCCTTTGAACTGAATTCTTCAAATGTTATCCATCGTCCTTCATATCATTTTTTTACTTTCTAATATGGAAGAAAGAAATAATACCAGATAATTGGAGCAAAGCAATTTTGTTCTTAATTTCTAAAAAAAAAATGGCAGGTTATAATGTAATAATTGTCGAGGAATCGAAATATCGATAGCCCACCGTCAGTTTTATTACCGATTTTGCAATTACTTTTGATTCACCTAAAACAGCAGAGCAGAGGATGATGCAATATGATGGTTCCATAGAAGATCACTAGCTTCATAAGAGCACTTTATCAATACACACTGGTATAGGCCTGTGTAAATGACAAATTCATCCAAAATAATAAGTTATGTCCGCAAGGCTGTACCTTTTCCTTTATATATAATATTAAGTAATGGATTGACATCAAATTAGCACTCAAGAAGTGCACAAATTATCCTAGAGAATATTATCATAAATACTTGAATTTGCTGTTGTCCATTTTGTTGACAGTCATGATGAAATGCAAATAATGCTAAACAATGTGTCAACCACTGCAGCGAGATTTGGACTCAGGGTGAATGTAAAGGAAGGACTTCTCGCCTTATATACAAGAAGCTGAAAAAACACATTTTTATAAATTCATTGCATGTTGGAAGTATAAGACTTCAGATATCTCAGATCTACTCTCCACTCTATCCTCATCCGTCAAACGAAAGACTACAACCCGGATATCTGGAAATTCATTCTTCTTGAGTTTTTTATGGAGTCGACGCGAAATCACTATAAAAACAAAAGTACGCGTCTACATAGTTTCAACTCGCTCAATTTTGCTATATGGCTGAGAGTGATGACAGTGGAGGATATTAAGAAACTGCCTACCTAAATGGCTACTCATTTCTTAGATGCAGATTCAGCCCGCTGAGCGGATAAAGCCTCACATGGTTGCATCCACCTCCACTCAAATACCATTTGCATTAGGAGCAATTTCTTTTTATCACTCAAATCCATATATCGCTGGTCCACGCTTACGTTCAAAACCTCTTCTGACTGTACCAGCCCAGGTCTTTACGTCCTCCTCGCTTTCGACGCCACGATTTAACAAGTGAAGAGGTGGATGACATGCCCTAACCAGAAAAAGCGATGTTCTGTGATGGTATCAAATCGAACAACTCGTCTTATCCTCGAAGCCAATCTATCAACCTAACCAGTAATGGCGAGACCTGCTAGAAGAAGAAAAATCCACCATATCTCCACCCGTCCACAGCAAAATAATTTGTAGTTTTCTAAGAAATTAAATATTATGAAAAAGAGTTGAAAGAAAGTTCGCAAAAAATAAAGCAAAGTAAAAATTTAAAAAGTCAAAAAATAAAACAAGAAAACACAATTTAACAAGTAAATCAAGCGAATCAAGTAAAAAACGAAAAAATTTGAAGGAAACTTCCTGGAAACTTTTTCGCGATAAATTGTATGAATTATTGTATGAACTATAAGCCCACAGGTCCACACAACATACAACCTTTGACCTCAAGAATATCCATTCTATCCTAAATTTTAAACAAAACTACGAAGTGAAAATATTGCGCTCCAATATTTGGAATAAAGAACATGATCATCAATAGCCATTTTCAAAAGTTTAAACGCGGCGACACTTGTAGCATTCTTTCGAAGTTGAGATTGTCCTAAATCAAAAAGAAAAAGAAACGAAGAAAACAAGGATCGATGAAAAAGCTAAAAGTAATTCTAAAAACAGAAATGGTTTATGCGACATCTACAACAATCAAGCATGACAAACTCGTGCGATCAATTGACGGATGCGCAAATGACGGATACTAGAGCGATATCGGTTTTGAGTTCTGCCAATGCAGGTTCGAAAAATTTCTTTCATTTCAAGTTTCGTAAGTTGGATTCGAAGTGCAGTGGCGTTTGCATATACTCGAACCTAAATCTGATCACGTCTCACACAGACTTTGAGTAGCACGCGACATATGACACGTGCGTCACCACCCCTTACTTCACTTCCAGAGAAACTAAAAAGCGACCGTTTACTTGTTTTAAAAAGAGGAATGATAATGGTACTAAAATCAACTTCTCGGCTGACTTTTAGCACCATAGAGCTATATACTGCGTTTTAGTAGTGAAGAACTTATCAACTGTTTATTGATGACATGGGCAAGATGCGGGGTGGAGGATGTTTAGGTGAGGTTGCTCGTGGTTGAATATTTTTTGTTAGCTGTTTGGCTAATCAAGCAACCTTAGGCAAAAATACAAAGTTTCCATAGAAAGAAAAAAGAAGTAAAGCCATCATATTTTGTTATTAATGTTTATTGCTCTGCGACATTTGCATTATTTTTCTGAGAACTTTTAGCTCGTTTCAGCTTCCGTTTAATTTATATTTCAAACGATTTGACTGCATTTTTGTGGTAGAAAAATTATATGTCGAAGGGTTTCCATTTAAATTTAAACTGAGCGAAAGTTGTTGAGAAGACATTTCTTTTTTTATTTTGCTTTTCTTATATGATTTACGCTTATTTTCACGTTTCCTGACCGTTGTTTATTGAATTTCTATTCTTTTTAGCGAAATCTAAGTAATATTATTTTTAAGAGTGTTCTTTAAAATTGGAACTTGGTCAACACATGCGCGTAATTGTCCTTCTTCTTCTAATAGCTCCCATCACTAGTGGTTAAGCTGGCTCTATTAGCCGCAAGAGAGTAAGAACTTTCCAAGCGGCGCGGTCTGATGCAGTCATTGATAGTAGTAGGAGCCATTCCTTTTTCCATCGTCTAAGTTCATATATAGTTAGTTCTCCTATACGTTCAAAATTTCCCCTGATTGTTATTCCAGGTTTTGATTAGTCCTCGCTTTTGAAGGCAACCATCGTAGGGTTCGACAAGTAGCGAAATATGCGTCAATTCCTGTGGTGGACGACGGAGAACGTGCTTTAACCAGCGAAGAAGGTGATGGAAATACAGGTAGTGCTTGAGCGAAGATGGACGGATACAATCATGTCCGAATTTATCAGCTCGAGGATCCGTAAAATGCATCTTAAATATGAGTGGTCAAAGGCTGATAACTTCTTAATATCTTCTACTCTCACTGGCCATGTTTCACAGCCATATAGCAAGAGCGAATTGCAGCTATACGGACGCTGATTTTGTCTTTTGTCTTTATGGTGATTTCACGACGGTTCCATAAAGATTTAATCAACTGGAAAATACATTCGTAGCTGTCGTTATCCGGGTTAAATTTCATCCTTTGCATGGCCATTTGGGATTAGAGTGGATCCAAGGTTTTAAAGTCAAGCACTTCCTCAACCGGCAATGAATTGATAAAAATAAGTATTTTATCAGCATCTTGTATATAAGATGAAAATACTTTCGTTTTATCTACATTGATTTTGAGTCAAATTCTCGCTACAATAATTGTTGATTATTGTTGACATATTGTTTAACATTATTTGCATTTCCTCAATGTGTTAGCAAAAAGAACATAATCAGCGTATTCAAGATCTATGATGCTATAGTATGAATTGATTCATACACCTCTCGATAAGCAATGCCCATAACCAGTCTATCGCATCGTTGAATATTGTGGGAGAAAGGATGCAACTCTGATGGACACCAGTTCTTATTTCGAAGGAATCTATCAGTTCCCCATATACCAGGATATGTTGACAAAATGTCTTTATGAGCAGGATGATATCTGGGACACTATTACATTCACATGCCATCACTTTCCGGAACATTGCTCTATCAATCGAATCGAAGGCAGCTGCAAAATCCATAAAACAAATGACGGTGGGTTATAGCGAAGCGAATAAATACCTAAACACATTAGTCTGTTTTACTTGCTGATTTTTTCCTGTTTGGTTCTGTTTCAGTTGATAATTTAATTTATGTATGTAGAAATGGTCAGAGATTTATTTAACGGAAAATGTTTTGTTTTGATTTGTTATCGAAGATAATTCTGCGATTATTAGCCATTAGTCATCATTAGCCATCTGAGAGATTTCTTTCGCTGGTTTGGTAAATAATAAATAAAGCATTCTGTAATTGTTTTCAAAAATTTCAATATTTGTAGCAAATTTTCTGTGGTGATCTGTGCCAGTCTAGTATTGGTTATATGTCAAATATTTTTTTACTAGTTACTAGGAAGGAAACAATTTCCTATCGAACAGAAAAAAGTGAAAAAAATTGTGCAGAGACCGACATATATAGTCTTAATACCGTTTTAATACTGTTTTGCTACTTGTCAGATACATTTACTAAGAAACAATATAGTACTAATTCATATTTTTCAGATTAATTTGTAAGTTGTAATCAACATGAGCGTTTTCGGAAAAATTTTTGGCACTGGTAAGAAGCAAGTACCACCAGCTACACCACAAGAATCAATTCAGAAATTACGAGAAACCGAAGAAATGCTCGTTAAGAAACAAGAATTCTTAGAAAAAAAAATTGAAGCGGTTGAATTTTTTAATTTGTTATAGCTCAATAAAAGTTTATTTTAAGTTTATTGTGTTTTGTTTTGCACCATTTTTCATTTTTTTCATTGCTTATCAATTTTTTTTTGTTATGGACCAAAGCTTGTGGATCTGGTGCTTTATCTACCATTCATTAATTTTTTTTGGATTTTAGTTTGGATTTTGGCTCGACAGTCCATCATTGATGCATTGGAAATTTTCTCATATTTTATTTTTTCTTAACTATATTTTGTTTTCCAGGAGATAGCGTCTGCTAAAAAACATGGTACAAAAAATAAACGATTGGCTTTACATGCTTTGAAAAGGAAGAAGCAATTCGAGAAACAATTGCAACATATTGATGGTGTTCTTTCAACTATAGAATTTCAAAGAGAAGCATTAGAAAATGCATCGACAAATGCTGAAGTGCTACAAGTGATGGGATCTGCAGCTAAAGCTCTTAAAACTGCCCACAATGATATGGATGTTGATCAAGTAATTTAGAAATTTAGTAATTTAATTTAGTAATTTAGTAAGTAAATTTAGTAAGTAATTTAGTAATTTTTTAAAGGTTACTAAATTACTTACTAAATTTAAAAATTGAATTAAATTATATTTTAAAAATGCAGCTTGGAATATGCTTATGGTTAAAAAATAACAATTTGTGGCATTAAAATTTTTTTTCAAAAAACCATAAGTTGTGATGAAATTTGCTGTCATTTCTTTAGTGTTGTAGAATTCAATTTATATGTCGCTTTTTGCTGATCGATCATCTTAGTGGATATTTGATTTTTCAAAATTATTAATTTATAAATCCAAAATTATTAATTTATAAATTAAATTAATGAAATTTAAATTATTTAATGGTTAATGTTCACAATTTATAATTAGGTTAACTCGTTGGTTCTCAGTGCGGTCAGGAATTTTTATGAGGAGGTCATTTTATGGTAGAAACCACCTGCAACACACGGATTTTTTAATGGTAGATTTACTCTTATCAGAAGAAAGAATTCTTTCCTCTCAGCACGACAATATACCGTTGTCTACTCGGGTAACATGCCCTCATGCCTATATAAATAAATTAAATAATTTAATTTTCAAAAAATATATGTTTGATTTTATTCATCCGCTATAAGATCCACAGCAAATAAGTTATGCTTCGCTGACTGTTTGAGATATTTCTTCCAAAGAGTCAAGTTGACCGTGAGGATAGAAGTACAGATGAATCCGCATCACTGGTCCAATTTTCGCTGGTGTGGGCAAGAGCCATATGATGGAAATGATACTATTGGCAATACCTGTCCATCCATCCATTCAGATTGCTATTATCAATTAAAAGAGTAGGGATGGAGTTCAGCAAATAAAATTTTTCACTGTTAATAAGATAAAATGAAGGCTACAAGGAATGATGAAGTGATTAGTCAAATATTTATGTTTCTTATAAATTTTTTAAAATTATTTTTAGGTATTTGTCCTTAATTTTAGAAATTATCGAATAATCTCGTGATCGAAATTATTTGAAAAATTAAATTGAAGGTTCATGATTTGATGGAAGATATCGCTGAGCAGCAAGAAGTTGCCAATGAAATTGCTGAAGCTATAAGTAATCCAGTTGGATTCGGTCATGATATAGATGAAGATGAACTCCTGAAAGAACTAGAGGAATTGGAGCAGGTTTTGTTTCATTTAATTTATTATCTTTTTTAAAAATTAGGCCTAAACTATTTTGATTTGTAATTCGTCATTAACTTTTTTCACTTTCAAAATCACTTATCTTATGATGAAATTTTAACTTAATAGCACTAAGATTCATTTCATAAATCAGAAATTGCAGGAAGAACTTGACAAACAATTACTGAATGTTGGACCGACACCAGCAACTGTTTCGGGATTACCTGAAGCACCAGTCGCAGATTTACCTGTTGCTTCGAAGAAGATTGCTAAAAAGCAGCAAGAAGATGATGATCTTGCTGAGCTAGAAGCATGGGCCAACGCATAATTCTGTATTTTTCATATGAAATTAATGCTGCATATTTCTTTGAAACTACTAATTTAACAATATATATATATATATATAAATTCTTTTCGGGAAACAGGAGCGTGATAATGGAGCGGAGTAAAAAATACTTCCAACTAATTTAGGTGATATTTGCTTGTTTCACGAATCGTTTAGATATTTAGATAGATGCAGTAAATTTTGTTATTTTTATTAAAAAATTTCTATTTTTTAAGTACTTTATATTTTATGAAATTAAGTCAGAAATATGAAAGAATTCTGTTGTTATTATAAATTTTCCTAATTTGTTTCGTTGATATGACTTATCTTAATCAATAATCTTCGAATTTCTATAATTTTTATTGGAACTGCAAAGTTGATTTTTGAATTTCTTAAATTCCTAAAAGTGATTTAGAAAGTGATTTACAGAGGTTCAGTTCTTAAATTTGACTTTGCACATCTTTTATTCATAGATATTAAAGTTTTAAATAAGATTTTTTCGCAGGTTTATGGTGATTTATCAAATTATTGAGTTCCAATTTAAATTCATTAGCCGATTTCGGTGAAATCTTTTTTGTAAATCCTTATACTTTTTACTTTATCAGTTTTATCTTCGAGAGCTTCATGGTTTCTAATTATTGTTAGAAATTTTAATTCAATAAACATGCTGCTCAATTGGAAGGTAACTGCTGTATAATGGGCGCTGGGCATTTGACCCACAGTGGTAGTGGTTGAAATTAAATTGGATGAAATTACAAAAAAACTAAGCAGAATTGAGATAGCTATTTTTTTTTCAAGATTATTTAGAAATTTTTTCTAAACAAGTATGGATAAATCTTCCTACAATATGTATTTTTGTTTTATGGGCATTTTTTGAGAAATGCTTTAAATGATATCTTCGTAAATTGACTCTTTGCAATTATTTGTTTAAATTGAGCGGTTGATTCTTGAAGTTTTTCATCAGAAATCAGAAATAGTTATATTATATATTTTTATTTATATATTTATTTTTTTATATTTTGTAGTTTTATATTTTTTGTAATTTCATTTAAAAAAAATGGAAAAGCATGGGAAAAAAATTGGCTTTCGGTAACGAATTCATTTCTGGGCAAAAAGAAGGAAAATGAAGATAAAAATAGGGTAAATCATGGGGAAGCGTTTTGCGAAATACCAGAATTTAAAATTGCTTTGTTTTCCTTTTCGGCCGAAAGTCCAGAAAATGTGTCACTAAATGAAGAGTACAGAAAAGAAGCGGTTGAACATTTATTTATTTGGCTTTGATATAAAAGCATTAATTCGAATTATAGTAGTTTTGGATTTGTGAATAGCAAGGGAATGCTGTATTTGTTGCTTGAGCCTCGTGAAAGGTGCATTGTAACCACTTATTCCGATGCTTTTGCCTGCACCAATTCGTTATAAAGAATTCGACTGCATTAACAGAAAAATATGATTTTTATTAGAAAAGGTCGAACTAAAAACAGGTTTTGTAAGTAAGATGGAGATGGGAAATTTTTTTATAAATAAAAAGGTTGACGAAATTAAGCAATGTATGGTTTTATGGTTTGCATTAGTTATAAGCGGTGCAGTTAAATTTAAAAGGTGCTTAAACGGAACGATGGCCTAATTTGCGATGAAATTTGTGATATCCTTGTAAAATTTAAAATAATTGCCAATGCAATTCATTACTTGCATTTCAACGAAATAATTGTAAGGGCACTGAAACTACCAACTGCTGCTTCTTAATTTTCATTTTCATTTTTTGAATTTTCTAATTTTTTCTAAATATTTCTTTTTCTCTTTGAACGTTTTTGCTTTATATTTACTTTTTACTTTTCGAAACCAACGAAAAATTTGAATTTTATGCACTTTGAAAACGATGGTAGTCGACCGATTAACGGCGAATGCAAAAAGCTACTCTCGGTTGCAGATCGAAATAAAAAAACAGTTCAAACTTCATATCAACAATTCCAAACTTTGACGGCTAAAGGCGAAGGTAAAGACTTGCGAAGTAAGAACTCAAGAAGGCTAGAAATGCTGGCCGATCTCAAAAATTAAATTTTTTCATTCGCTTCAGGTGGTAATAACCAGTAGTTTGGTGACTGTTGCTGTTCGTTTTGAGTTCCGAGAATATACATCCTACCTTCAATAAGATTGAAAAAAATCATTGAAAATCTGTTCTTATAATAATCCATTGCAGAGATTCAGCTGTAGCTTTTATCCGAAAATGTGGCTACCAAATTTTTCATCGCGCTAACAAATTGCCAAAACAGCGAATTTATCGAGCAGCGCTAATTGTTTACTTAGTGATTAATTCAGAGAAGAGATGCGTCCGTCGGAAATGAAAATAATTTGGCAGTAATATTTTGGCAATTTTATTAAAATTATTTTTTAATAACGAAGCGGTCGGAAAAAATTTGAAAATTCATTTGAAAAATTACATGGAAAATTTAATTTAAGCAAATTGTTAACGAGTTGGTTTATAGCAAAATTTTTTTATTGTCTTTTCCCACGGATCTAATTCATTTATGCCAACATTTCTCCATTATTCATCATAAATTTCCTTTCGTAAGAAAGCTTTGCGATCGCGTTTATTTGTAAAAATACATGTCAAAGCACGTTTCTATGCGTTCTGTGAGGCTGAACTGGAATTTTCGCTAAATCCCTCATCAAACACAGTCAGAATTTACTTACTTATTTAGGACATTCGTTTATTGAGATTTCCTTGAGACTTTTTTAATTCTCCAACATTTTTTGGCTATTTTATCTTAAAATTGAACAAAATTTCATTTTTGATTCTAAAATGGCGTTTAATAATGGTTTTCAAAGGTCCAATGTTAAAGAATTTTTTTCGAAAAAGTCCGATAAAAAATATAATTTTCATTTGCTTAACTTATATTAATTAGTTATAGTAATAGTAGAAAAAAATTGATTTTTAGTTGAACTCATTTTCAGCATTTCATTAGATATGCAAAGGTTAGTAAGTTAGAGTGTTTGGTTTGAAATATTTAATCTCCTTTTTCTATTTCGAATTATTTGGGGCAGATAGAATTTTCAGCCCTTACTGGATTGAAGCCGCAGGATGCTCGAGCGATATTCCTTTAATCATAGGGTCGATTCCTGTCTTTTGATAGAAATAAACCTATAGTAATTCATTGACTTGAAATCCGTTTGGTATTTCTACCACAAATGACTCTGATTCTCACCTAGTGGTTAATGAATCAGTGGTGCTAACCAAGCGGAAATGCCGTTAAGAAATTCTATTTCTTCCCGTGAAGATTGAATAAATCACTATTAATTGATTTATTGCAAATCTTGAGGTTTAACTGAGGCAATTCTCTTCGTGAAAGCGATGAATTAAACAAATTTTCGAATGCATCAACGGTATTTATGTGCTTCTATACATAATTTGTCGCATGATTTTTGCTGCATTTCTGCTGAAGAAATCAATCCATCGTTCTTTACAATTTTCATTCCAATCTTATGTTATGTTATGGCAATGGCAATAGCGCAATGATTCATTCGCAATAAAAGCACTAAATAATCAGGAAGCGGAACGGATTAATCTTTAGCTCAAACATAAAGCGAATTCGTTAATGAATTTTCCTTATTACTGAATATGGCATTTCTAAAAAGTGCGCTTTTCGATAGATAAGCAATTTAGCCATATTGCACGCAATTTTGAATAATTTTTCAGCTATCATCTACAGATTTCAACAATTTTTCGACTCTTCAACATATTTTCTTAATAAATGAAAGTTCTCGAACTCATAAAAGTTTCATTTCAATAATCGATCGCTTAAATGAAATATGAAATTGGCAATTGCCGGATAATATGGATTCATCTTTACTTCTATCCTCGAGTGACACTAGAAGGCTCTCTTCTCATATATCCTAGGTTCGGTGGATTCAGCCAAACCAGAAATGTTAAATGTTAAATGTTGTTAGAATATTATTTAATCGAGATAATTGAGATAGTTTTTGATTCTCTGCTATTCGACAGACTTATGGAAATAGGGGATAAGCAGGATGCACCTTAATCAAGCTGGTTTCAGACCAGGGGGCGTTGTGCTGACCAGATATTCACATTAAGAAGGGTGTTGGAACATCGCTTCAAATATTTGCAACCCACTGTCACATGTTTCATCGACTTTGCGGCTGTCTTCGATTCAATTGATAGAAAGGCGCTTTAGAGGGAGATGGAACGCGACTTTGTTCCAGAGATGATCATTCGACTCATAAAGGTATTTTATGAGCGCACGTTGGTGCAGGTTTGTGCATATGGGGAACAGACAGACTCCTTCGAAATAAGAACTGGTTTTCGTCAGGGCTGCATCCTTTCCCCCACAATATTCAACTATGCGATAGACTGGATAATGGATACTGCTTGTCGGCACTCAAGAGGTGTCCGAATTAGTCCAGAGCACCGTATCACAGATCTTGAATACGCTGATGATATAGTCCTTTTTGCTGACTGTTATGATGAAACGCAAATAAATGCAAATAAAGCTAAATAACATTCAGCAACTATAGTGAGAATCGGACTCATGATCAATGTAAATAAAACGAAATTCTTTTCGTCTTATGTGCAAGAAGCCGATAAAATGCCTCTTTTTGTAAATTTATTGCCGGTCGAGGATAAATACCTTGGGTCCACTCTAATACCAAATGGTCAGGCAAAACACGATATTATAGCCCGGATCACGGTAGCTAGAAATGCATTCTTCCGGTTGACGAAATCTTTATGGAGTCGTCGTGAAATCATCATTAAAACGAAAGCCCGCATCTATAAAGCCGTATTCCGTTCGATCTTCTTGTCTAAGGTACATATTACGGATCCATCAAGCGGGTAAAATCGCACATGATTATATCCATCTTCATTCAAATATCGCCTGCATTAATAATATTATCGCGTTAGGGACGTTCTCCGTCATCCACCACAGGAGTTGACGCATATTTCATTACTTGCAGAACCATGTGATGGTTCGTCAAAAACGAGGTGGGGC